GAACGAGCTGAAGAGCAGCCGGGAAGGACCAAGAACAAAAGCGGAGGAAGTGAGAATTCGCATGGAAAATATCCTGAGAGGAAACCCTCTCCTTAATCTCCCCGGCTCATCCCAGCCTCGTGCCAGCTTCCGGGTTAAAAGAAGGTGGGATGTGAAAGAACCATGCACAAGTATTGATGATCAGGAAAAAAAAAGATTTGTAAACGATGCACTTCCATCTGAATTTCGTAAAATGTTCAAGGAGAAATATATCAAGTTTTATGTGCTTAACTAAAGACTAAAATGTTTTTTGTCTTTTGCTTTTTTTAATGAGAGAGAGAGAGAGAGAGAGAGAGAGAGAATCCGACAGTGTCAAAGCCATTGAGGAGGGAGTAGCAGCCGGGGCTCCTCCAACTCAACACTGCTTCTAGGACAAAATGGAAGCTCTGAGGAGAGTAAACACACGTATCACATGAGCTGTCAACACTTGGTATTTTCCTGAATGAGTTGAAATTTGTGTTCACACAAAACCTCAACCGGGCTATCTATAGGAGCTTTATTCATAATAATTGCCCAAACTTCTTGTGAACTAAGATGCTCTTTAGTGAACGAGTAGATGAGCTGTAGATCATCCAGACAATGGGTAATAATACACACACACACACACACACACACACACACACACACACACGCTGTCAAGAGACGTGGAGTCTGAAATGTATATTACTGACTGAAAGGAATCATCTAAAAAGAAAAAAAAAGGTATATACTCTACCACTCTCACTATATGGCATTCTAAAAAAGCCAAACTACAGAGACAATAAAAGGATCACAGAGTCAGGGAAGAGATAGTAATGGGTGGGAGAGCACAGAGGTCTTTTAGGGCAGTCAAGTCACTATATGTGATACTACCACGGTGAATACATGCCATTGTATTCTCGTCTAAGCACAGTCAATGCTTATACCAAGGGTACGCACGTAGACGTTGACAACACGTCACTCGTAGGGATGTTGCTAAGGAGGTTATACATGCACAGGGATAGGAGATGTCTTGAAATCTATGACCTTACTTTTTCTTTGAAATTGCTCTTAAAAACTGTGCTAAAAACCATGGCAGCATCGTTTTTTGCCATAGGATGAAGACAAAAATTATTTTGGAGATGAAGAGGCAGGTACTAGACTGGCACTGTGGGTGGTGCCATCCCTGGACAGAGATGGTCCTGGGTTGTAGAAGAGAGTAAGCTGAGCACACCAGTAAGCAGCCATCTCTCCATGCCTCTGTTTCAGTTCCTGCCTCCAGGTTCCCGCTTGAGTCCCTGCCTTGACCTTCTTCAATGATAGACTATGACACGGAAGTGTAAGCCAAATAAATCCTTTCTTCCTTCAAGGTGGTTTTGGTCAGAGTTTTATCACAGCAACAAAGAAGTTGGACACCATGTAAGCACGGGGATATAAAGTTGGTACCTAGAACCGACATTAAACAGCCAGGTCCATGTTTTCCTCCCTGACTTTGGGTTTCATCTTATGCATCTGTTTCTAGATTATCAAATCCCTGGATTGATCTGCTATTAATCTCGGCACGCCTCAAGTCAGACCTATGAGGAACCTCCACATTACAGAGGGCTTCGGGGATGAGGGGACACTTGAGATCAGTCTACTTGGGAGGAGTCGAGGCATTTCAGGAAGAAAGAAGAAATCACTGTAGGAGGGATCACAGCGGGGCGAGACGGATGCCGAAAGGGCCCTGCTACTGTGGACGCTCGTTGCCCGGAGTATGGGAAAAGACAGGTAGAGGGCTGTATTACAGGAACACTGTGTGACCAGCTGGATCCTTCAAGTACTACAATGTCGTGGTTGGTGGCACAAATTACAGCTGACTTTGTTCAAGTTTTATTGTCATTAATGAGAGTCCATAACCTGTATGAGACTTGGTTTCATCTTTTAAAAAAGATAAGAATAATAGCTAAATCTTAGGTTTGTGGTAAGGGTTAAATGTGATAGCATGTAAAATGTGATTGAAAATGTTCTTCACTAAGCCCAGGTGTGTTTGGAGGGGGTATGTGTACATTTAAACAGGGTCTGAGCATGATGGACTAGGCTTGACTCTGTATTTGACGGATGATGCATTTAAATTTCTGATCCTCTTGCCTCTATCTCCCAAACACTGGGAGTACAGGTATGTAGCGATGTGGTTTACGTGGTGACGTGAGTCAAACTCAAGGATGGGTGTGTGTTAGGCAAGCACGCCGTTAACCCAGCCCTCAGATGTTTGTTAAAACAAAACAAAAAAACAAAAACCATGAGTTTCTTTTTTAAAAGTTTCTGTAAAAATAAATATGAATCTAAAATTCATAAGGCAATAAAAAAGATGTAGAAACTCAAATAAGGAATTCTAAGAGTGGGGAATGATGATCATTTGTGCCTTCTAGAAACTAAACAAAAATGCAACATAATCACTTACGTGTGGAAAAACAAAAAAAGAAATACAAATAAAGAATTAGGTTTTTTTTAAAAAAGATTTATTTATTTTTATTTTATGTGTATGGATGTTTTGCCTGCATGTATGTATGTGTACCAGGGTATGCAGTACCAGTGGAGGCCAGATGAGGGTGTCAGATCCCCCTGGGACTGGAGTTACAATAGTTGTGAGCTTCCATGTGAGTGTTGGGAACCGAACTCAGGTCTTTTGTAGGAACAACAGCCAGTGCTCTTAACCACTGAGCCATCTCTCCAGCTCCAAGAACAAGTTTTGACAATAAAAGAGAACATAGTACATGATCCTAGGAGTCACAACTGCAAGCTAATGCATAGTGAGAGCAGATCTCTGGGTGCCTGAATGCGGAAAGAAGATATTCTTACACAGAGTACAAAGGAATTTTGGAGCTGAAATGTATCTTCATGACAGCTCCCATGTGCTGAAACTTATCGATACTTTAAATATATGTAGTGTGTTATATGTCATTTATATTCCAATTAAAAGGACGGGATTCTATGTTACACAGACATGAATTCAAATTCTACATTTAAATTTCCCTTACACACTGTGTGACCTTGGTCCAGTCACTTCTGAAACTCGGCAATCCAGTAATAGTAATACTTCTGAGACTGTGATGAACGTAGGGTGATCCAACACATGCAAAGTGCTTGGGACACAACACACACTTCCCAGACCATAACTGCGGGTGCCTCCTGCAGCCCCTGTGCTCAGGAAAGTGTTCAGTAAAGTTGCACGCTTCCTCCCCCTTCCCTTCCTCCCCCACTGAATCCCCTGTTTGGTAGAAAAGCCAGAACTCGGGAGGAAATAGACACCAACTAAATCAAGCAAAAAACTCTGGGTCCTGCCTGTGGCAGGCAGCTCAGCGGCTTCTAGGCTTCATCTTGTCCCGCATATGTGTGGCTGATGTTGACCCCACCGGGGAAAGCTTGGGGCGGTCCCTTCTGAGTTATTACTGGCCTAAGCACAGACTGGGGTCTTTTTCTCCTGTAGGAAACTTTCCACATCCACAAATGCGGAACAGCTGGGGTTTGGAGCCAGCTTTTCCTCCAGCGCGGAGCAAGCACTTTGGGGGAGGGCAACCCTATTGTCCGGGAGGTTTCTTTGGCCACAAAGGCTCTGCTGATGTCCCTGCGGTCCTGAAACAAAACTAGACCAGTGACAGAACAAGGCCTGCTCTGTGAGGCCGGAGCGGCTGAAACTTTAGTAGTACGTCAGAGTGACTACTCTTCCCGGTCCCTCAGAGACAGATAGATGGTCAGGAAGAGCCAATAATGTGGCGGCTGGGTGGGGTGGCAGTGGCAGACTCTGTGCGGGTGTGTTCCATGTGAAGGCGGCTTGTTAGCATCTGGTACCCATTTTCCTGGTGGCAGGTGGCAGAGCTGTTTCCATGGGGCTGGCCTGGCTCACGAATGAGCTCTGGTGGGCTGTGGACTGAGTTCTGCAGATGTCTGCAAGCACTGCAGCCTGGCATTCGGGGACTTCTAGAAAGAAAAGAGAAGGCTTCTCAAATGGACCAAGGCTGGGAGGTCTGCATTGTTTCCACTTTTTGGAGGCAGCAGAGCTTTCGATAAATAGCGTTCAGTTGCACTGGGGCTGTGGTGGGGTGGGAGCAGAGACTGCGGTTGACCTGACGCAGAGTTTGCAATGTCAAGAAAGATCTGGAAAGTGACTGAGCTTGTCTGGGCCTCAGTTCCTGTCACCGACAAGTTGCAACCCTATAGTCACGTCACCAGGGGCCCATACAGCATATATCTTGGAGTTCTTACTGGCACACAGTAGCTGAGAGAAGTCGAGGCAGAGCCATGGGATCCCAGAGCTGCTTGTTCCCAGGGATGGGGACAGCCAGGAGCCATAAACTTCACTCTGAGGACCTGGGACTAGTAGGGATTACTAGTGTGTGCTACCATGCCTAGCTCTTATATTTGTCATTTTAGACAGTGTTCTCCACAGACAAGGCATCCTCACAGACACTCAGGAAAAGCAGTCCCCACGGAGGTAAAGTGACATGTCCAGAGATGCACAGGTTCAGGCTCTGTAACTCATACAGGAGTCCCCTGCCCAGCACATGCCACACATACACAACTGAGAACAAAAGTTGGGGAGACTCATGTCGTTAATGCAGGCTGCGGAAGGAGCCTTCAAGGAACCTCCCAGGTATACCAGCTAGCCTCAGTCCTAGTAAAAATGGGCTGGCAGCTAACCAGGCTTAGCCTGCCTAATAACGTTGAATCCTGTCTTTGGGACTTAACCATGTTAGGCTCTGGTACATGAGGACCCAGGGGCATCTCAGATATCACTCCTGAGGGATACTAGTTCCCTTAGGAGTGGTTCTCAATCTCTGGGTCACAACAACCCTTTCCCAGGGGTCACCAAGATGGTTGGAAAACACAGCTATTTACATTACAATTCATAACCACAGCAAAATTACATTTATGAAGTAACAACGAAATAATTTTATGGTTGGGGGGTCACCACAACATGAGGGACTGTGTTTAAGGGTCACAGCCTTAGGAGGTTGAGAACCCACTGCCTGAGGGGATGCGTGGGCAGCTTAACCCAACTGGCAAAATACCACATTAGAGAACACGACAAAAAATGACAGACAGGGAGAGAGCGACAACGAGGCGGGGACAGAGAGACGCTGTGGAGGTGGTAGGACTAGGCAAATTCTCCAGAGAGAGAGTCGCTGATGAGTGGGAGGGGTCGGAGGTGGTCCTGGGCACCTAGAGGAAATGAGGACGTGGAAGGGGAGAGATGGGGAGCCTTGCCTCTCCCCGACTTATCTGGATTCTGCTCACACAGCACTTCGGCTTTAAGATGCTCTGTTACTGAGTCCTGCACTTGCAATTTTGTTAAGAGGTAATTAGAAATTTAGGATTTCGTAGATGGAAAATACTACATTTTTAGAATGTACACAGTTCCTATTGGATCCGTAATTGGAGAGGAATTCCCTGCTCCTGCTTTAAACCGATTTAGCCCTCGCAGTGAACTCAAGCACAAAACCAGGCGAGTGAAGCCGGCAGTCAGTTTCCTTGGCGTCCTTCATGGCCAGACAGGTTTTTTTCATGGCTGGAGCCCAAGTCACTTCCTGCCAGGCAGGGGGCTCCCCTGCTGCTGGGAACAACTCAGACCTGGAAGGAGTCTGTGTGGGTAGGTGCGGCTGGCCGGAAGGAGCTGCCGGGGACAGTGTGACCCAAGAGACGGCTGTGGAGAGCCAAGTTGCTCTGCACGCCACAGGGACCCTCCTTATGGGGCAGTCACAGCCCTCACAAAGCCCAGGAAGGAGCTATTGAGATTTAATTGTGCAAACCCACGTGGCTGGTGGGAAGGACTGGGGAGGGGGCTCTGGAGGCTTCTTTCTCCTTGCTTTTCTTTCTTTTCTCTCTCTTTTTTACTCTTTCCCCCCAGAGTGATAGAATAAAAAGAAACGATGCGTCTGTCTGCTGAAGCCTGGGGACTTTCTTAGGGTTCTCTGTGTAGTGTTATTTGAAAAAGGACAAAACCCCCCAAACAAAACACAGTTGTATTAACACAAAAGTGTAACTCCATGGTTGAAGTCTCCTTTTCCATTCCCAGGGACCGTTTCCCAAATGAACCCCAGCTTGTCCCTGTAGACAATGGGGTCCCCTGGGAGCTGCACGTGATCAGACCAGTGAGTGAGAGGCCAGCAGGTCAGTGGCCCGGTCTCTGTGACCTCCTCTCTCTGTGAATGCGGGAGGCTGGCTCTCTGTTTGGAGGCGGTATCTCTTGTGATCAGCTGCGATGCCAAATGCTCCGCGCTCAGGACAGGGGCGTGATGGGGCGCTACCAAACCCAGGCATCATTTTCTGTGCGTCTGTCTTTTCTGTTTCCCCCTGAGAAGCTGTCCTGGCACCCAGTACAGACGTGGGTAGGGCGGGAAGAGGGGGAAGGGTGGACACATTGGCTGAACAAACATGAACCAGTGTGTGCCCCTGCTTATGTGTATATGTGCGTATTTTTAGATGATTGAGCCATCTCTAAAACAAACAAACAAACAAACAAAAAAAAAAAAAAAAAAAAAAAAAAAAAAAAAAAAAAAAAAAAAAAAAAAAAAAAAAAAAAAAAACCACCTCTCAGCTCAGAAAACAGAGCCTGGCTCCAGGATGTGGAATTGGTGTTCTCAGATCCTTAGGCTCTCTGAGGTACGTCACAATTACAGGGGCATTGTGGGAGTTCCTGCCCAGTAGTAAATGAACCAGGGAACCGATTCAGAGGCATGGGGAAGGGGGCATGGTAGAGAGGATGGCACCCACCAGAGGCCTTCTTTGGTGCTGTGGAGTCCTCTATAAGGGCAAGTCACTCTCTGGGCCAAGTCTCACTTCTGCCCCCCTCACCCCCATCCCCCGGAGCTGCTGCTCAAGGGTACAGGAAGTTAAGGTGTCTGTCATGGGATTGACAGGTAGCAGAGAAGCAGAGGACAAACCCGGAAGCTCCTTAAGTCCTTTGTTCTAGAGCCGCCGAGAGGGAGCAAGGCCTGGAGGAAACCGTGCTGAGAAGGTGCTTACCGCCTCCTTGCCTCAGTTCCTTCGTCAGTAAAGCAGGCCTTCCATGCACGGTTGGTGTAAACTGTAATGAAAGAAGGACCCAGCTGGCACCTTGTATAGTCACGTGGCCCAGATCAGCGGGTTCCCAGGGGCAATGAAAGCCGTGTTAACAGACCATGTGTACCTTCTCCTAAGGTTAATAAAGCAGGTGCTGAATACTAGCCCGAACCCCACTCCTCTCCCGCCCCCCCCCCAGGTTAGTAGTTGAGGAAAGAAAACCCAAGTTCCCTAGTGGCTGGGGAGGGTGTCTAGGCCACCCCACCCCCCCAGGATCATAAGACATACTATATCAGACTCCTGGGATAGCCTGAAAGAGATTTTAACACACACGCACGCACGCACGAACGCACGGCCAGCTTGTAAGAGTTTAGGAAATTTTTTAAGTGACAGTTTTGACAATCCCCATTAATTCTGGATCCCACATTTCATTCTAATAATGATCTAACCTGGATTTTTTGAAGTTGGGGCGGTTTCCTTTGATAAACTCTGATACCTGACCCTATCTGAGAATGAGTTAGCAGGCTGCTGGGACAGTCAGGAGCTGCCTCACATACGCCCTCCTCCATCCCACCAGCCCACCTAGCTGCCTAAAACGCCTCCCTGGGAGGACAGTGCCTCTAGCTCCCCTCGGAAGCCAATCAGCCCAAGACTGAAGCCAGTATCTGTGACAGTCCCTAGATACCCGGCAGGACAAATCATATTTAAGGCCTGAAGCCAGATATTTTTCACTTAGTACACATTGGATAGCCTTGGCCTTAGTAGATACTTGAGTAGGCTTCCCGTGTACACTCTCCAGTTACTGCATACAGAAGGACCGCCCAATAATAACCAGTTTCCTAGCAACCGTACTGAGGCCTTAAGAAGAAAGTGGCCTCTCTATCACCAGAGCAGTGGCAAAACAGACACTGCCACCTACTAGTCAGAGGAAGGATTGATGCTCTGGATGCACAGGTTGTAGTAACAACAGGTAGTCGGCAGTGAACAATTACCATCTCTCAGTACCATTTCAAATTCATTGCGCAGTCTGTCTCCTGGCACTGAGGAAGTCTGTTTCCTGGCACTGAGGAAGCCTACCTAGTAGATACGGTTGTTATTCCCATTCTTACAGAGGAAGAGAGAAGCTCCTGGATTAGAACTTCAGAAGGAAGGCTCTGGAGTGCTTCCACTCAACCTTAACACATCCAAAAATCACCAGAGGGGCTCAGTGGTTAAGAACACTGGCTGGCCCGGCAGTGGTGGCACAAGCCTTTAACCCCAGCACTCAGGAGGCAGAGGCAGGTGGATCTCTGTGAGTTTGAGGCCAGCCTGATCTACAGAGCGAGATCCAGGACAGGCACCGAAACTACATGGAGAAACCCTGTTTCAGAAAAACAAAACAAAACAAAACAAAACACTGGCTGTTCTTCTTCTTGCAGAGGACCCACGGTCAGTTCCCAGTGCCACATGGTGACTCACAACCATCTTTAACTCCAGTTCCAGGGGGATCTGGCACCCTCTTCTGGCCTTCATGGGTACCAGGCATACACATGGTACACACACATGCAGGCAAGCACTCATACAGATATAATAAAAATAAATGATAAATGAATCTTACACACACACACACACACACACACACACACACACACACACCTGAATAGTACAGCTCCAAGCAACCACCTTTCTTATTATTACCTTTCTATATTACCTTTCTATATTAATGGGATCCCTACTTTGGTATTACATTGTCAAGTTGGACATTATGAGCAGTACCTTCCCTTCCTCAGACCAGCAAAAGCTGCATGTCCTTGAGGGGTGGCAGCTCTCTTTTGGTGGAAGGAGACAGCATGTCTTCTCTGGGGCATGGCTAGCCTAGGAGAGGCAGGGAACAAGTATCAGAGCACTGTCTTCAGTTGACATTCAGAGACTGGCTTCAAGCACACCAGAGACCCACCCCCCACCCTTCCATCCCCTCACGCACACTTCCAGGGTCCTTTTCGATCCTCCAGGGCAGCACCAGCACCAGCATTGGCAATCTTACCTGGTTTCGACTGTTCATAGTCTCAGGCCCACAGAAAAGACCAGCTGGAGCATCCTGGAACATCTGTTCTCCAGCTCACTACCTAGGAGCCAACTGACTCAGGGACTCCTGGTCAGGAGAAAGCGAGTCCTCCAAGGCCAAAATGCCTTCGGTCGCTCCCAAGAATCAAAGCCTGCTGACTCAACTTCTAGAAGATCCCTTCTACTGAAAAGCTAGGAAATGAAATTCCTCTTTCCTCGGGGTAGTATGGCTCTACGAGATACCATTTATTGAGGACCTGATAGAAGCCAGGAACTGGATACCACGTGACCACTCCAGCTGCTCTGTCTGCAGGTGACACTCACAGAAGGTGGCAGATATGGGGCTCCTTTGGTGGCCTAGGCTTCACTGAAAACATTGGATATAGCCAGTGCCGTGGGTACCAGTGCCCCAGATGGTCTGTCCCACACAGCTCTCCGGCTTCTCACTGTGACTTTGGGCACTGTGCTGCACTTCCTGTCCCTTCCTTTTTTCTAACCTGTAATATAGAGATAAGAAGGGGACATTTTCAGAGATTAAATGAAAGAAAATGTACCATACATGATACCTGGCATTTAAATATTATCCTATTATTTTCTTAGCATCTCCGTCTCATAGATGGGAAAAATAAACCACAAGAAGGTCTACTAAATTTCCCAAAATGATTCAGCTAAGGAATTACAGTAAGAGCTTTTATTCCCAGGTTTTTCTTGCCTCCAAACCCTCCCTCTTACCCATCAACAAGCAGCCTCCAGGGACCCTTCAGGATTAACTGCCATTCAGGCGTTGCTGAGCTGTTTCCAATCACTGGTGTGATTCTGAAATGTCAGAGGTTTCCCACTGCCCGGGGACAAGCGGCTCAACTGGGGGTGGGGGTGGGGGGTGGGGGGGGGGATTCTACAACTGATCCAAAGGCCCAGACCCTTCCCCAAGGAATTTAAAGAATAAATCTGCCTTCACAGGTGAAAATGTAGCATTGAGTCCAAGGACAGCAGCGCTTGCTGGGGAGCACTCTAGATTGAGGCAAGAGGCTCGCACACCCCACCTGCTCTACCACTCACATGTGTTGTTGGCCTTCTTCTGGGTCCCGCAGAGGTTGCGAGTCAACGTCCTTGTAAAGGCTTCCCGAGGAACGGAGTTTTTCACTTACCCAGAGCATTTTCCCAGCCACCTACTGTGCACCAGGAACTGTTGCGGAAGCTGGAAATGCAGCCGAGAACAGACACGAGGCACAGCAGTCGGAGGGCGCGAGAACCTAGTGCGCGCGCGCGGGGCCCACAGAGTTTCAGGGCTCAGGGGTCTCGGAGCAGCGGTATCATCCCAAGGAAGGCTCCTGGCCCAGCTCAAGCTTCCCTGGAAAAGAAATATTTCTGTTGAGAGCCAAAGTCTATCGAAGATGAGGAGGGTGGAAGACACAGGTTTTGGAGAGCAGGACTGGTTTGGGCGTTTGAGAACCTGGTGCATTTGAAGAAGCAAGTTAACTGCGTGGCCGTGTTTAAGGAAGAGGGAGGATGGGAGCTGAGCAGAGAGGAGGGCAAAGAGGCGGGGGGACACCCACTCTCTGTTAGAGTTCACCAAGCCCGGTAAGAAGAGATGGTTTGGCCAGTTAAGAGGACCGGGGTTCAATTCCCAGCAACTACGTGGTGGCTCCCAATCATCTCTAATGAGATCTGGTGCCCTCTTATGCACCTGCAGGCAGAACACTGTATATATAACTAACAAATACATCTTAAGAAAAAAAAAGGCCGGGCGGTGGTGGCGCACGCCTTTAATCCCAGCACTCGGGAGGCAGAGGCAGGCGGATCTCTGTGAGTTCGAGGCCAGTCTGGGCTA